AAAAAAAGACATACGTCAGATATATCATTAGCACATTACGATCTAAAAGCAGAAATTGTAGTGGCGTCAGATGCTACTGAGTACGATATTGGAGCGGTAATTTTACACAAATACGATGACGGCAAAATGAAAACTTTCGCTCATGCTTCATGCCCGCTTCTACCAGCAGAGAAAAATTGCAGCTGGATAGAAAAAGAGGCTCTATATTTTCTGTGAAGAAATTTCATAAATTTAATCATGGAAGAAATTTTAGGTTGGAAACAGAACACAAACATCTATTAATAATATATGGTTCAAAGAAAAAATACCTATGCATACAGCTAATAGACTACAACGCTGGGGTACCATCTTATTAAACTATGATTTTACAATGGAGTACCAATCGTCTAAAACATTAGGTCATGCGGATGGATTATTAAGATTGATACCTAAAAATGCAGAACAATTTGAGGACACTGTCATTGCAGCGCTAAAAAGCAAAATGGAAATAAAAAACATTTTGTGCAAATTTGTAGTACGAGAGTTACCAGTTATCCTGGAAGAAATAAAAGAAAAAGCCGAAAATGGCGTCTTTATTGCGAAAACAAAAAATAAAAAAAGCAATTGAAAGAAAGTAACAAAGAACGTAATCCAGACTTAAACGCTTACTCGCTATGCAACGGTGTAGTAATGTACGGGCAAAGGATTGTAATATCTAGTCTATTACAGAAGTGAATATTGTGGGATTTTCATAGCTGATATCTTGGTGTTTCAAGAATGAAATCTCTGATGAGAAGTTTCGTATATTGGATCAGAATGGACCAAGATATTAAAAAATAGTGAAAGTTTGCAGAGGTTGTGCTCTGGCTACAAAACTACATATCACAAAGATAGAACCTTGGCCAAAGACAGACACGCCGAGGTCAAGACTGAATATAGTTTTTGCAGACCCTATGAATGGATCACATTATTTTGTGGTAGTTGATAGTTTCACTAAATGGCCGAAAATTTCTAAGTGCAAAAATCTTCAGTGACAGTGAATTTCTTGCATGAACTGTTTGCGAGATACGGCATACCAGATAATCTAGTCTCTGATAACGAATCGCAATTCACGGGTAAGAATTCGAAGACTTGTAAGATGTTCCCCATTGCGCATATTACGACCCCGCCGTATCACCCAAGGTCGAACGGGCAAGCGGAACGGTTTATGGGAATGTTCAAAAGAGCGTTGAAGAAAGCAAGTTTTTAAAAAGTAAATAAGGAAGAACTTTTTGAGAGTTTACTGTGTAACACCTAACCTCAATGCACCATCGGGCTTGAGAGTGATTCATTACCCTATCTCGGGCTAATTATTTTACACAGACATGAAGTGAAACAATTATATTGAATCAATTGCTAGGTTTGCTTCTTAGAAAGTTAGTTCACTGTGTCGTTCCAAACAAGTTTACTCGTCTGAATTTAAGTTTACACACTAATGTGTCTAACATTCATCCTTGCATTGAATATTACTGCCACATCTGGTCTAGTGTTTTGACTATTTGTTTAGAGATTAATTATAAAATCCAAAGAAGGATCTGTGATGCTATCGTTGCTGACCTGGCATCTCGGCTTCAGTCACTTTCTACCGCTGTAAGGTAGCATCTCTACCTTTTCTAGAAATATTTTTATTGGAATTGTTCTGATGGGCTTGCCTTTTTGGCACCTCGACTTTATGAATTTAAATGAAGTACTGGATTGATAGCTATGAAAATGCTATATGTAACCGCAGGTTCTATGCTAACAGTTTCTTCTCTCGCGCTTTCCGCTTGTGGAACTCTCTTTCGAATCTTGCTTCCCAGTCAACTTTGATCATCAAAAATTTAAATGCAATATCATTCGTTATGATCTGTCTTCTTGAATCCTTGTCTTTATTATCCTCTTTCCTTAATAATATTTTTTTTCAATTTTCAATGTTTCAATCCCTTGCGTCTTAGTAGCTTTATCACCATTTTTTGAAGTGAAATGAGTAAAGAAAAAAGAAGGCTGAAGAGTATATTGTGTATATTGTCCTGAAACGTTGTGACAATAACAACCAAGATAAGATCAGTCTGGGTGTTTCATTCATTTATTTGTTCACTGATTCATTTACTCATTCATTCATTAATTCATTATTCATTGATTCGTTCAATTACCGATTCATTCATTAATTAATTATTCATTGATTCGTTCATTTACTCCTTCATTCATTAATTCATTATTCATTGGTTGGTTCATTTACTCATTCATTCATTAATTCATTATTCATTGATTGGTTCAAATTTTTTATTAATTCGTTCATTTATTGATTGCTTCATTATTTTATTGATTCATCGATTGATTTATTCGCTCATTTATTGATTGATTGATTAATTGATTCATTCATTCATTCCTTGATTGAGTTATTTATTTCAGGTGCCACTTGCCATTTACCTGAATTTGAACTTTGACCTATACTGACTCAGTCAGATAATGGTCCCTGATGTCATTCTACTGTAAATCAATAATTGCTTCGGCTTGAGTTCTAACCGTTAATACCATTTTAGTAAAATGGTTAACCGAATATTATGTAATAAAGTCAACGAAATCAATCTTGTGGGGATTACTCCCACTTGGTCAGTAAAGACGTCCGTTAGGTGGCACTGTTTAAGGACTATAAAAGAAGGGTTATAAACTTCTTCTTTCTTTCTTTTGCTCCAAGACGTAGCAGAGTCGATACGTTCCTTGATTCCGCTGGGGAAAATATCTTTCCCTCGGGCATCTGTCTGAATTTTTGTACACACACGTGCGTTTCACAAACACACGTATTTTCTAATAGCTAAGATTTAAAGTTTTTCTTTCTTTTTCAGCTGTGTGCATATTAATATATTTTCTCTTTTGTTAATCATTTATTAGTAATATAAGAATACATGATAATATCTTCATTTCGAAATATATTCCTTTTCCCATTTTACCCCTACAATCTTATTATTAAGTCAGTAGTCATCACGAATTTTAACAATGTATGCAAAATGGATTATTGGAAGGGCACGTAATGACGTCTTAGTTATAAAACATTGAAAACTGTTTTGTAAGCACAGTTTAAAGTATCTACTACATGTTTAACAAATGGGCGGTGTTTCTCCTTCCGAGAGATTCTATAAATCAACCGAGATTTACCTGGATTGAAGGAATGAGCGAAGAAAGAAAGAAGGAAGGCAAAATGGACAGAAACTTTTTTTTATTGAATCAACAACACATTAGTACCATATTGACCTTTAAATGAAGATGTACGCCCAAAGTCAACTTAGAGATATTGGGGTCATCATCATCATCTTAAGAAGAAGAAGAAGAAGAAGCAGAAGGAAGAAAGAAAGAAAGAAAGAAAGAAAGAAAGAAAGAAAGAAAGAAAGAAAAAGAACTTGTCCAAGATCAAATACGAAGGTCGACCTCCCTCTTTCAGTAAACAGAACTTAGTGACTCACAACCGGCAACTGTTGCTCACTGGGTGAGGATCCAAATCACGACACGATCGAATGGGAATTTGAGTGACGATGTCACAGCATTTCGTCGTATGGACAACTCTTCGATATTTCCTCAGCTTAGTTAAGCTTGGCATCAAGCCAACAGGCGAAGGACACGCAGCAAGGATCGAATTCAAAAAGTAATAAACTTTGAAATGTACTAGCAATGTATCACCCTATCACACACACACACACACACACACACACACACATATATATATATATATATATATATATATATATATATATATATAATAAAAGACAAAAGGAAAACTTACCTTAGCCCACGCATTTCAACCTCTCATGGACTTTATCAAGGCAAATGTAAGAATTTTATTTTGCAACAATTATTTATAAAGGTTTGATAAACGTTTCATATTTGTTCTTTAAAGTAATATATATATATATATATATATATATATATATATATATATAAAATTATTTTAAGACATTTTTATGTTTATACATTCTTTTTATAGATACAAATATGGAGCCGTCATATAACCTGATTAATTAAAGTATATATATATATATATATATATATTAAAGTAATATATATATATATATATATATATAAAAATATATATATATATATATATAAAAGTAATATATATATATATTAAAGTAATATATATAAATATATATATATATATATATTAAAAGTAATATATATATATATATATATATATATATATATATATATTAAAGTAATAGAAAAGAACAATGAGATTTATAATTCACAGTTCTTAGCATTTATTTTCATTTTAAAATCAGCGCTCGATATACAACAGTAGAGCATAATGTTATAATTGTTTTTTTTTTTTTTTTTTTTAGATATATAATCATCATTATTGATTAGAATTTCCACATTACAAAACATGAAATTTGAATTGAAATTCATTTGTAATTTGAAATTTGGTGTTAATCGATGATTATATATTTTAAAAAAATATATATATATATATATATATATATATATATATATATATATATATATATATATATATATATATATATATATATATATATATATATATATATATATATATATGTGTGTGTGTGTGTTTAGGAGAGCGAATAGTATGGTTACAACCTTTAACTATATTTCTGAATAAAAATTTTTAGTAACACCATAATTCCCCACCTGATGGGACGTCTAAAACGGTGTTTCTTTTTTTTAACGTTGAAACAAAAATGTACAATTTTGTAGTGGATATGTGCATGTTTTAATGTAACACTGTATAAAATATATATATATATATATATATATATATATATATATATATATATATATATATATATATATATATATATATATAATCGGACGAAAGATTAATACAAAAATATTTTTTTTTTTTGTGCACAAAAGGTATCACGACTAATTCAGTTCTCCTTATTCCAACTTTTTAATAATCTAAAGAGTATTATGTAGATAAAAAGATAAATTTGTTATTTGTTATATGTCGATGTAACCTTTTTCATTTTCGTTCATCAACAAAGATCCGAAACGTCGGTTCTCGTGCGATCAACGAAGTTAAGCAACGTCGAACTTGGTCAGTATCTAGATGGGTGACCGCTTAGGAATATCAGGTACTGTAAACTTGGATGTGTGGGTGATGTAATGGATAACGACTCGGAATTTGCAATCAGAGAGCTGAGTTCCAATTTCTGCCGGGCTCTTTATATTCACTTACGCGCAAATCCTCTTGGCCAAGACTGGAATCCATTTTTTCTCCACCCTTCCCAGCTATGGTTTAATTAATAGGACTTGTATCAGTAAATCATTATTATCTACAACAAATTCTTAGTGTCTAAAAATATATTCTGGCTTCAAGTAACCTGTAAAAGGTTTACATGCCGTAAAAAAACAAATTAATCAATAGATGAATTAACAAGGCCTATTTCTTAAACTTAGCGGACATGCACCAAAAATATAGTCGCTACCAGCCCAAACAATACGCCTAATTTAGGTGCAGGTGTTTACAAAGCTTAGCTGAACCCGACACATTATAGCTTTCAGGATTAACACCCTAACTCTAAGTTTAAACATATATTCAGGGTGTTGCAGAAATGCCTCCCTCATCTCAGTAAAAACGTTGTAACTGTCCGGTTAAAAGTTTTTAGAAATTAGATGGACATGATATAGCAATATAATATAAAATGATCTAGAGTGTGTGTGTGTGCGTGTGTGTGTGTGTGTGCGTGCGTGTGTGTGTGTGTGTGTAATAAGTGCAAAATTGTTTTTGTTTTATCCCAGACTAACGAGGATTATACCTTTGTTAAGTCGGGATTATCTTTAGATTACATAATAATGCATTTTTAAATCTGTGATTAAATTTTGAAGGAATGTTGAAATTTAGGAATGCAGATTATTTTTTTAAGAGAATTAGCAAATATCTCGCAATACATTTTAAAATGTCGTTGCTTACTAGTTAAAATTCAGAGTAGTTTTTTTTTTTTTTTTTGCCCAGCAGCAACCACATCATTTTTCTTCGATTATAACTGGATATTTCTGATCAGCTATAAACGTGGTAGCTTCTCTTTCTAACTTTCTAAGTATTTCATTAAACTATGCGAATTATACGAATTCTGCATACAATGGCTCTATTCTATCAGTAAATATTGACTTAATTCCTGATCATTGACAATAACTTACTTCCTTATTTTTAAATACATTTCTTTATTAAAATAATTTACAATGCATTTCTTCATTTACATTGTACATAAAACAGCTCATTTATATCATTATTGCAATATTAGTTCCTGGCCACTGACAATACCTTTCTTCCTTATTTCCAATGTATTTCTATAGTAAAACTAATTACCAATTATTTTGTATTAAACATATAATAATCCCATTTTATCGATAACTAGCAGCCATAGCCAGCTGGTCGATCAGAAAAAGCGTTCAATTAAAATAGAGCAAAAACAGCATCATGTTTAGATGTAACAGTGTCTATCTTCTTCAATTACTTTAAAGTACTTTCATTAAAAAAACATTTTGAATTAATGCAGTTACTGATATAACAGAAGTAGTCTGTATTTATTCAATCGAAGTTAGCCGAGGACATGAAGGGGTAAAACAGGCAACATGAAGAGCCACTTCAGATCACAATTATTTTGGAGTTTTTGAAATTCAATTTGTCAGTGTGCTACCAGGGATGTAAAAGGATATATTTATAAAGCAATTGTTAAGTTTGATGAAAATGGTCCAAAGATCAAAGAAAAATAAGAAAGAAACCAGTAAAAAATCGCTATTTTCCGCTATTTATGCAGGTTTTCACTATATAGGTGGACTCAATTATCAAGTTAAATAACTGTTAAACAATCAACATATTGTTGGCTACAATTGAGTGAAGTTTGTATTAGATTGCTTGAAAATTGAGGGAGGTTTTAGTTTAAAATTTGTGTTGAAATCGATTTTTCGTTTTTCGCTAAACGCAGTAGCGTAGAAATAAAAATGAGGTATCGTTGAGCACGTCGTGATGTAAGTAACCTACATACCGAGTTTGAACGAAATGAAGGGTAAAAGCTAAATTTATCGATTTTTGATCGGCTTTATCGATTATAGATTTTTTTTAAATTCACTATATGGGTGGACTCAGTTATCAAGTTAAATGACTGTTAAACAATCAACTTATTGTTGGCTACAATTGATTGAAGTTTGTATTACATTGCTTGAAAATTGAGGGAGTTTTTAGTTTAAAATTTGTATTGAAATCGATTTGTGTTGAAAATGATTTTTCGTTTTTCACGGTTTTTCTTTAAACGCAGTGGCGTAGAAATAAAAATGAAGTATCGTTGAGCTTGTCATGATGTAAGTAACCTACATACTAAGTCTGAACGAAATCGCAGGGGAAAAGTTGAATTTATCGATTTTTGATCGGCTTTATCGATTATTGATTTTTAAATTATCGATTTTTTACGCAAAGAACCAATCTCTTATATTGTACAATGTATGTGCCAAGTTTGGTCAAAATCGGTTGGATGAATCTCGAGTGAAAAGACAGACACACAGACAGACAGACACATAGGCATCCTCTGTTTTATATATAGAGATAATTGCATTAATTCCTGACCACTGAAAATAACTTTATTCCTGATTTTCAATACATTCCTATAGAAAAACAACCAGTATTATATTTACAATATGCCTATTCTATGAGTAATGCTCCCGTTAATTTATGACCACTGACAATTCCTTTTTCCTGATGTATTTCTACAGTAAAAAATACTATGGAAAAATCGAAAACAATACACTCATATTATACATATTCACTTAAAGGCTGCTAAAGGCGGCCCTTAAATTTAAAGTTACTTGCTATTTACAGAATTTCTATCACATTTATTTGCAAATAAAGGGAAATAACTTTGTAAGCAATCAAACTCTAACTACATTTAAAATCTAACGTTAGCGTTACTTATACTTCTAATGCCTAATCAAGAGGAATCAATGAATTTTATTAGATTGTGATCTGAATTTGAACACGCTCTGCTTTGTCGCTAAAACTATACGCCGAATTTTGGTGTAGGTGTTTTTTACAAAGCTTAGCTGAACCCGACACCCTATAGCTTTAAGATTAACGCCTTAACTCTTAGACTCTAGGGAGTTAATCTTGAAATATATTCAGGTTGTTGCAGAAATGCCTCCCACATATATCTCTCAAAAATACCTCCCACATAATGGTAAGAGTGGCAACGGTGTTTTCATCTAGAATGTCTTACCATTGTGTGGGACGTGTTTCTGAAAGGTATTTCTGGAGCACCGTGTATATATAGCCGCCTTATTCCAAGGACCATCATCTCGACGGTGTTGACAACAAAGTTCCTTAATACTAATTTAACATACACAAAAAAAAGACAATTACACACCAGAGATGAGTACCACGGTAATGGTCCAAACCGCTTGATGTAGTCACGTGCAACACTGAATGAGTCTCGGCAGCTAAATCTTCACAATCGATAAAAATCGATACTAAACCTAGGGTCAGATTAATGTGTTTAATATCCAGTGGGAGCGCAAGAACGTTTTATAGATAGTCACGTCATAAGTCATCCACGTATTCTTTCTGGTTGATCAAATTAGAATTAAAATGGGCGGGGATAATTATCTCGGTATTAAAATCGTTAATACTTTGCTGATTTAAATTAATAGGTTCCCTGGTTTCCTGACCCTTCAAAAAAGTGTCGCTTTTTTACCGATAGAGCTCCCTTGCAATAAAAGGAACAAGGGACTTCAATGTGTAAACCTCCAATTATAGCTTGCTGTGTCAGCCATTGAATTGAATATCAGGTCACAACAGAGGACTTCACGTAAGCTACTTCTCCATACTTCTTTACGGCTGTATCTCGTTGAAACACCGGTTCTCGTCCGATCAAGGAAGTTAAGTAACGTTGAGCCTGGTTAGATGATTGACCGCTTGGGAATACCAGCATCCGTACGTTTGGATGTGAGGGTGGTGTAATGGATAACGGCTCGAAATGAGAAATCGAAAAGTCCAGTTTCAATTCCATTCCAGTTCATTACATTCACTAATCCCTGAGGAAAGTATGAAATTACCTATTCTTCCCCCAGCTATGGGTTAAATAATAAGACCTGTATTTGAAAATCATTATACCCCCCCCCAAAAAAAATTGTTAATGCAATATCCACTCGCAAAAGTAAAGAATTAATTTTATAATCCAAATATATGTTTCGACTTAACCTACAAAAGGTTGATAAGCCATAAAAAAACAAATCAATCAATCACTAAAAATGCTACTTCTTCTGTCGCTGTACGCGTAGCCTCGCGGTTAGCTGCGCAGGAAATGGAATTGGTATGCCGAGTTCAAAGATTCAACCGAGGCGGTAGTGTTCGCTTTCACACAAATCTATTTCTTCTCCCTCAGCTATAAATAGCAGAACAGACTAGCCTATTTAGTTAGTTGGTAACCAGTCTAGGAGAATTCAAAACTGGTTGGATGTGGAGCTAGCAACTACAACCCGTATAAACCAATTTAGTATAAAAATCCCGGCAGCAACACCTAGCGTGGTATGTTTGTGACACTACACGCCACAAAGATTCAACTGGGCAGGTTTAATTTTCTATATTTATCGTCTGCGCTATAGACATTTATTTAAAAAGTTCTTTTCTTTGCCAAGACCTTTTAACTCTTTTAGAAAGTATTTTGTCTCCTTTGGTATAGTTCTATGGATCGCTGTTAAAAAAAAACAAAAAAAAAAACGAATATTTCGGGCTGCAAACTTTTGCTTTAAGTTTTATGTCACATAGAATCTGATCTACAAATCAAATCTAAAGCATACCCCCAGAAATTTAACGATGTCTTGGACTCATTAACTTCTACAAAATATAACAGACCGGAGAAGTTAAATTAGTTGATTCAAGTTTGTCAGAAGAACAGCGTAAACTTTTATCTAATTTTCAATGTTTTTTTTTTTTTTAATTAGTCAATCCGAGCCGCTTATCCATTATGCGAAGCCAGAAAATCATCCACTGAAGCCAATGCTTTTTCTCTCTATTCAGTTTTTGGTCTGATGCCTGGAGAACCTTTGTCACTTAGCTTTAACCTCACTCAGGACTTTTGCCAGTTGCTCGATTCAGTCAAGAAATAAAGATTAGGAAGTCAAAACGAACGAAGACTATTACTCAATTTAAACTACAAAGGTTTAGCAGACACGCTGTTTTTAAGAGTTGAAAATAAAGCGTTCTACTTGTTCAATAAATCTAAGACAGGCGTTTCATTTCAAACTATGATCATTACTCCGGAAATTGTCGGCTGGATATTTTGATGTTCAAATATAATTTTTCATTAGATTTGAATTTGGATTTCTTCACGTTACAACAAACTATTTAGGCAACTGTACTCTTTCTTTGTTAAAAAGTCTAAAGTATATAGGCTTAAACTTTCAGAGAACAACATAATGTAATTATCTAAATAACTATAATTATATAATATTTTCGTCTTGAATAATATATATATATATATATATATATATATATATATATATATATATATATATGTAGATAGATAGATAGATAGATAGATATATAGATAGATGTAAATTTGAATAACTTTGTATTTTTCAATAAGTGGCTACAAAATGAAATATCAATTGATGTGTTCCCAGGATAAGAAGTCAGTCTCGCCAGTCCCAAAAGAAGTACACACAGGGGTGTATCTGATGAAAGAGACAGACTTAGCGACATTTACATGGAGAGACAAATAAATGGAAACTTCGCAAGAAATAAAGACGTATCGATCGGGAAAATATCTCTATTGCTGCATTAATCGATAATTAGATTAGATGTTGTGGTCATCGCTACTTCCAGCTCAAATGAAAGCAGTGGCAACCAAAATTTCACCTGTAAGTGACGGGTTGTCATCATTTGCAAAGTTAAAAGGAAATGGAATAAATTTTAACGCGAAGATATTTTCAAGTATTTTTTATATAGTTAATAGTTTATTAACAACGCGATAAACTATATTACTGTGTACACAGCTGAAAAGGAAAAGATAAACATTAATAAAGTTAGCAGTAGTGTGCGTGTGTTTGAGTGCGTGCATGCGGAGGAGGCACCACGTGGTCGGGTAACGAAATTCCTCTGGAGGTGAAAACTGGACAAGTCTTCAACCCACCGCATTCTAGAGTGACAAAAGACGATTATGTCAGAGCACTTATAACCCTGAAAAGCGTCACCTAGCAGACCACGTGGGACTATTTATTTTGAAATAAAGTACATTTCCTTTGACACAAGGCCGAAAGGGGAGTGGGGAAAGGCTGGTTGTCACTGACTATCCCACACCTAGCTAATTTGATTCATGATCGATTCATTTTCACAATTCTCTCAATCACCAAAAAAATCCATCCATCTTCACCCAATCAAACATTTACCAAATTAACACATATTCGCAGGGAACCTACTAAAACCTCATGATATAAAAATTTAGATATGTACAATAAAAAAAATATTGTACATATCTAAATTGAAATCTTTTTACAAAAATATATGTAACTATATTTAAAAATAACGGGGCGGGGGATGAACCCCAAAATAAAATAAAACAATATCTTCAAACTAAAAGAAAATGATGTTAGTAGGAAGCGTCCATCACGCAAAAAATAAGATTGTCTGCTGTATTCTACCAATAATCAGAATCAAGAACCTCGCTCACTAAAAGGCGAAGGAAGGGATAAAATAAATTGAGTGGGAAAAATCAAAGGCTGATTCAGTCAAGATAAAATGGGGTTAAAAACAAACTGGGGAGATTGGGAATCTTAAAATGGACCATAACAAAAGAGAACGCCTGGAACAGCAATCACTCACATTAACTAAGTGAACAAAAGAGTCTAGTTTAGCTAGCGGAGGGGTGCGTCATCTATCCGCCCTGTTATGTCTATAGGGGACTAAAAAAGGAAATCGAAGTTGGCCCCATTCATGCGAACGAAGCTCGCGACTTTTACCCACAAATGAGTTTCTAAGCAGAGCTTAAATGTGGCACAAGACCTAAAGTACGGAAGCTCCCAATGAGGATCGAACTCACTACCCACTTGCAATTGATCTAGCTAGACAAGCTTGCTAACCATTACACCATGTCAAAGAGTCCTATTTCCGACAAGATTAATATCGATAATTTCTATCTGATTTTCTGAGTAATTATTTATTGATTTATTCGAATTGGTCTCATTATTTTTGGCTATTATGAGCTTACGGTCATATCACGTTGAAACATTAGTTCTCGTATGATCATCGAAGTTAAGCAAAGTCGAGCCTGCTCATTAGCTAGATGGGTGGCCGCTTGGGAATACCGGGTGCTTGCGTGTGGTGTAATGGATAACGTAATTACAAATGGGAGAGCTGAGTTCCAATTCCAGTCGAGTTCGTTATATTCAATTACGCGCAAATGCCCTTGGGAAAGGTATGAATACAATTCTTCTCCCCCTAACTATGGGATAATTAGTAATACTTGTATCATTAAATCAATACCATCAACCCAAAATTCTTGCAATCTAAAATATTTTCTGGCTTTAAATAACTTGAAAAAGTTAATAAGCCGTAAAAAACATCAATTTTGTTTATTATAATTAATAATATTTTCTGGCTTTAAATAACTTGAAAAAGTTAATAAGCCGTAAAAAAACATCACTTTTGTTTATTATAATTAATAGCCGCCCTATGTTCCAACCTTCTTCAGCTATCTGCCAGCTTGGGTTGTTTTTAATAAACGAAACGCACCAAACACATTCACTTATAACAATCAAATAAAAATATGACATCTCAAGGTCTTACAACAATCAACAAAATCTAATATTTCAACAAAGCACCAAATATTTTACAATATCATTAAAATTGAATGTTTAAATGGGTACGTCTAAAAGTGAGAATGCAATGTTTTTGTGCTATATGTACCTTTTTGTATGAATGTATGTGAGTAATAGAAGGCTGATAAGGGAAAATATAAATACTTTTATGCCTACGAGAGAAAGAAAGATTGATATAGCAGTGTCTTTAGCGGAAGTGTTACTTGAAATTTCGCTTGAACCTATCTGTTCCAGAAACGAGATCTTCTAGAACGATGGTTTCTTGGTTGAAAAATATTAAAATATTAAATTATAATTTTATCTATATTAGGAAGCAATACGCGGAGTTTACTGCGTACTGCTTTATGGTAATTTCAGCTCTCGCTGTGAGAGCGTCCATATTCCGTGTAGGTTCTGGTTAATGTTGTCGGGTCAACCAGAAGTTTCAGGAGTCGAATGACCAAAATCAGTTATTTACGCATAGGCTCCGAGTGATATTTCTGGTAGCATTGAAAACATTCAAAATATAACACAAATTATTAATCGACCACTGACAGCGTTTTCCTCGCATTTTCAAGTAACTTTTTTGTGAGCCAGCACATGCTTAAGGGAAGCTATAAATACAGACCATAAAGCAAACGAGTGCAGTTGGTAAGAATCAATCAACCCTCTTTCAGACCAGTACCGTCGACATTTTTGGATACCGTTTCGCTGTTTTTTCTTCCCTTTTTATTAAACAGTTACAAGAATTTGACTTTGGCTTAAAACTTTCTGATATTTTTTTTTTTTATTATTATTATTTTATACTTTCTTGTTTAAATTTAAATTTTGCTTCTTTCTTTTCAGTCCTTGTTTTATTTCAGTTTCTGGCAGCCATTTGCATTTTTATTTCTATTTTCTTTACAAAGTTTAACTAAGCCTCTTTTCATTGTTTTTTTTTTTTTCATTCTTATTTAATTTTCCGTCTAATTTTGTATTAAGACTAAATCCCGTTTGTCTTAAGTTTTAAGATTTTCATTTTTTTCTTGTGATTATTTTTATCTTTTATTTTTTCTTCTTCTTTTAACTTATATATTTTCCTGTCTTCGGGTGATTTAATTTTTGTTCTTGTCTTCGATAAATCTTTGTATCGTTTTTTTGTTTAAACCCTTCTGGGTAACTGTTAGCATAATTTGAGTTAACTTTACGATTTTTTGTTTATATTTTTATTTTTATGCTGGTCAAAACAGTTTCTTTTTTGTATCATATTTTCTTAAGTTTTGTATTTCTTTGAAATACTTCAGGTTAACTCTTGGAAGTTTTTCACGTTAATTTATTTGATTCTTAATTTCAATTTGCTGATCAAACCAGCTTTTTGCATTTTATAGTTTGTTTTCGCATTTTGTTTTCGTATTTGCAAACCTTTCAGGGTAAATTTGTGTTATCATTTATTTTTATCAGTTTTTTTTTCTGTTATTCCAGTATATCTATTGTTTTGATTTCCCCTCCAACCTTCCACTCATTTATAATTTAATACAAGAAAAAATATTACAATATTGCTAGCCTGAGTGGTAAAAAATTCAATATGGCCAACAGAATTCGATCGCTTCGTAAACATTTGTTTAATCCAAAAAAAAAAAAAAGAAGACCCACCGAATAAAGACGATGCAGTGGAATACCTTGCTCTTGCAGATACCGAAAAAATATAGAAGCCACTAATGGCCAAAAATCAAAAATGGAGTTTATGGAGGCCACTAATGGCCAAAAATTAAAAATAAAAATTATGGAGTCCGATAATAGCCAAAATACAAGAGATAAGAAAATCATTAATAATGAAGAAAGCATGGAAGACCATAGTGGTACTCAAGACAAAAAGAAGGACATGACTGAGGCTAGGGATTTGCCCTGTTGCTGGAAGAACCCATCTAAATACATCATCAATATTGTGAAATTCTTGAACCAAGCCAAGAGTTAAGCTCACTTTGTATCAGAAGGTGAACTCTTGGTAGACCCCTAAGAACTTTTTTAAAAAATTGAGAAAAGAATAGTGTCGGTTTTCATGGTGGACAAAATAGTCACTCTACGAAAGATACAGGGGTAAAATCACTGGAGTCCCTGGGGATTAAGCCACTAAGGATAGTGAATGGTTCGGGGTTTTTTATATGTGACGTATTGCTACCCACGCCTGAAAACTGTGAAGAAATGACCAGTTGGGATCTCATAACAAAAGATCTCACTTTAAGAACTGAATACGAAGGCAAGCGTAGGACCAGCATAGCGATATTCAAAGTCCCTGCTCAAGTTATCGGGGAGCACCTAGCCACTTTTCCATTGCAGTATGGCCAGATACTGGGTGCGACCTACGATAGCCTGATCAGCGGGTGGAGTTTCGATATAATTTTAGATCATGAAGTCTTCCTCTCTATCTTCAACTGTCTGGATGTTTGAGACCTGAAATTATCGGTCATTGTGACCGGCGTCAAACCTGCATGATGGAAGTGTGGAGAAACTGGTCACCTCTCCTCTTCCTGCTCAGAGAAGAAGGCTTCTGGAAGTCAGGTCCCTGTCGACCAAAATCTCCCTCTGGTCACGTCTTCTAATTCCGCTACGCCTGTAATAGACGTGCCAGCATCCAGGACCGGTGCGGTTAAACTCCCAGTTGGGTCCAGATCAGAGCCCACATTCCCTGCAAAGCCTTTGCCCCCTGCTTGCGCGGTTGTGGAAAAGGAGTAGAGGGAATGGCTTGTTGCTGTAGGGTCAGAGGGAAACGCCAGACAGCGAGACCTCGCCCTCCTAAAGCCCTTAGGACGAAATGCACTAACAGTCTCACTCCCTCTACTAGCATTAAGGGCGACGCCCCAGCCTCATTCAGAGAAATGCAGAAGAAATATGACCTCGGATTCGAAAAAAAAACTGAAAGAATTACCAACTTTAAAGACATCACGCCACTCGATCTCTACCCCGTCCTCCCTTGATAAAAATCCAAGAGAAAATCATCAACGCATTCATCCCCCTAGCAAACTCTTCCCGCTCAGTCGAGATCAGAGTCCATTCCAAAAAAAAAAAAAAAACTCATGCCCTAGTTCCTACTCCCAGTCTTTCCTCCAAAAACAACAAAAAAAAAATGGTCCCACCATCCAAAAGACTCCGAAGCCTTTCTTCTGAAGACAAGGAAAAAAGAAAAAGACACTCTAGACTGCCATATAATTTAGAGGAGACAATCTGCTGTATTTCCCCGGCCCTGGTAGAAAGAGGCAGAAATTACGGAAACTGGATAAGAGAACTTAAATTATTATTATCTTTCAACAAACACGATGACAAAAACTTCCCCAATGCGAAGCGGGTTCTGTCATTCGTACTGAGTCGGGGGCACGGCAGATATGGAGTATGGTTGTTATAGAGTAGTTTCACAGTGGAGGCTTGTATTTCACTAAGTCGGTCCTAAAATAGGTTCGACGTACAAAACGTTAGGAACTTGATATAATAGTTAATGACGCAGCAATCTAGTTGTGATGGCTGATACTTTAATATCCGACTAACGGTCGTCCGACATCGACTGACTGACCAACTCGCTGAGCCGACTGGCGACTGCTACTACTCCTACTTATTATAGGTGGGAGAGTCTATTAACAATAGAATAGGTATGTTCCAGTATAACAATGGTCGAGGAGGCTATAAAATGCTGTAAGATGTCACTCCCAATCGCCACCCTGGAAGACGAAAAACTAAATAAATTAAAACAGTTCTGTTCAGGGAGGATCCCAGTTTTAGTTCACCCCACCCTATATAGGGCTCTGAAATTAACCTATCCCTGGGATATTGGCGGTCTCTCCCCTGACGGCACTATTAAAACTGAGATGGGCTAAGGGTCAATGGGAGAAACTGTTGATGTCCTCACCCCGGCCATGTTCAAGCTAGATTCCCAAACCTAATCGGAATGATAATAGCACTCTGGTTGGCGAGTTTGAATGCCTGGTAAATGAGATCATTTCCTCTGAACGATCTTGGGTCAAAAAAGGGTTCAATTTATGCTGTGTGCAGGAGACCTGGTTTTCAAGTCGCGGACCGCCCCGTGTGCCAGCACAGGAGGGTGACAAATGTCACCCCCACAAATTTTTTCAATTAATTTTTTCAATTCAAAAATAGTCTGAAAACAGTGGTGGACACACAGGGTTTCGCAGGTGGGCATATGACCCCCCCAGAAATAATGTATAACCCCCCCCCAGTTTTTTCCCCCGTCAGAAATTTTAAAATAAATTGTCTGGAAATTTGTGAGTAAGAAAAAATAGCAATGTTTTCAGCTTTTGATTTGAACTGATTATTTTGTGGTAAATGATTTTGTCTTGGATCATACATGTAAACAGTAACGTACCGGTCAGTAGAGTAAAGTAGAGGTAGAGCATGTATGAAAATTTAGCTACAGCTAACCATTCAGCATAGGGTGAATCGGGGTCATTGGGGTGACATTTGAGCGGACCGCCCCGGGTGACGTTTACTCTAGCTACGCCACTCACGGAGTTGGCAATTTTGTTTATCA